GGCAGCCAGTATACCGCCGCGAAAGCTCGAAAGCGAATGCGAGGAGCCAGCGACGCCCAAGGGCATCGATGACACGAGCGAGGGAAGGAAAACCCAGCGCTGGGACAAGCCACGCACCTTGCTCGCCGCGATCAAAGCCGCTCCTGGCACCCGAGCACCTTCTGCGGTGCGCCTACCAGTTCATTCACCGCAGCGCTGTCGGGCTCACAGTGGTTGAACGTGCGCGCCAAAACGCACTGTGCAGCGCAGAAGCGGATTTTCGGCTCACATTCTCGTTGATAGCGCCTGGTCGACGCGGAACTGGCCGCCGCGCGTGCTTGCGCAAGTGACCGGGGACAAACGTGGCCTCTTCGCGCGGGATCAAGTCCAAACTTTCGGCCTCCCCGTCCTCAACCGAGATCTGAACATAATATTCATTAGCAACAGGCGTTTCATAACTGGCGGGTGGTGCCTCGACCACAGCGAGCTGGGAGCCGCTCCTGAAGCACATTCCGGAAAGCGCCGCGCGATAACACACACGGAGCGATGCCCCGGGCCAAGGGGTCGACGCAACTCGTGAGGCGGGATATCGTGGGGCCGTCCACCTCAGGCAGCATTGCAGGCGCGCCGCGCGGCGCGCGGCGTTCTCACACGGCGGGCGCTTGGCACCAACTGAGCCGGGAAATTTTCGGGCCTCACAAATTTGAAGGCGGCGGGGAGCGGATGCCCTGATGCTCGCGCCCGGGGCATCCAACGGCGGGACAGTCTTTTCGCCACCACAAAAGGTGTCCCACAACGTCGTTTCCTGAAACGCCAGCCCAGGTGGCCGTGCACCGCTCGCGGCTGCCGACGGCCAAGCACTCCGCCAGCGCGGCACGAGAGAGCCACGTCCGAGAACCTCGCCCAAGGCGTGGCGTGATCGCGACGGATCCGTTACCAGTACATTCCACAAAGAGCCCCAAGCGCGGCTTTCGGACCCCGACGACACGCCGAGCCGCCTTCCAACGGCACGCAGGAGCAGCGGTGGCCAAGAGGCGCGGCGCACCTGCGGGCGCCGCCTGGCATGAACACACGTCACCGGCTGGGGTCTCCCGCTTAGGCGGGTTGGGAGCGCGGGGCCTGCGCTGCGCGGCAGCGGGGGGCCCGATGTGGTGGCCATCTCCAACGGATGGGCTGCGCTCGAGGCCCTTGGCAGATCGGTGGCGGCCTGGTGAGTTGCCGCCGCTACGGGTCGCGGTTCAGCCAATCGACGTCGTGTCAATTGACGTTGTGCGGGAAGGAAGAGGGGGAAGGATGAAGCGGGAAGGAAGCCAAGAGGCTCAACAGTGATCCGCGGGCGGCGGTGTGCGCACTTTACCAACCGTTGGTTGACGGCGCAGATTGCTATTAGTCAGGGGGGGCGCGGCACCGCCGCTGATCCTGTCCCTTCTAAGAGCACAATCGGGGCATATTCGGTGCTGCCGGTGGCCGCAGGGCGGGGGGGGGGGGGATTTCAGCGAATCTGCAGAAACTTGTGTGAGGTCACGGTCTGTCGAATTTCTCTTCCCTTGGAATTTTCTGTGCAGCACAACTCTCTGCACAGACCTAGCTGGAGCAAAGCTTGACGCTGTGGGGCCCTCTGATCCGCACGATGGCATACCATCACTCACTGCGTTGCGCAGTACTTGACTCACTGCCAGGCTTGCTATTTGCGTTTACGGCACCAGCTTTGGGTTTTGTCAATATAACATGTTTGCGCCGTAACAACAAGCCTGCTCACTGCACTGGTGCAGTGAGTACTTCAGAGCGAGTGAAGAATGGACGGCTGACAGGCCGTTCACTGGCAGGCTTGATCTTTACGTTTACGACTCCATTTTCACGTTTGCGTTTTTACACGTAAAGACGCATAAATAGAGAAACGGCCATTTCGGCGGGCATACTTACGCATACTTACGGCTCGTCGACACGCCCAGAATACATGATGACGCCCCAAGGAGTGATCAGTCTTCCACATTCTCCAGCGCCAGCAACACAGCGTCCACCTCGTCTTTGGCAGGGGCGACGGCGTCTTCGAGCAGAAAATCGCTTTCTGCAGACTTCAACGAGGCTAGCTGCCACTCCCTGAGCTCCCTGAGCCTGTGTGTACTGTCATTTCGTAAACAGAGTCCATTTTTACGCATTTTTATGACAATAAACACGCGAAAACGTAAAAACCATTTTTGCGCTTCAAAAGCTGCAAATAGGAAAGCGTTTACACCGCAAACACAAGGCCTGTTCACAGGAATATTGCTGCCGTCCAAAGGACATCAGCAATGACAATTGGATTGCGATTTTTTCGCTTTCTTGTTCACTTCAAAGGCAACCTCAGCGTCAGCACCCCACGCTCTGGTGCAAGCTGTGGGTGGTTAGCCCCTTTCACAGATTGTAGCAACTTCCTTTTAAAAGAAAGTTGAAGCAAATTTGCTTTACATTGCAATTTTTTAAAAAGCAAGCATGGTTTCGAGTGGGGCATCGGGAAGTGCTGTTGCGATATCTGGCACATGGAAGCGATAATGAATCATGTCCACTGCTTATCGCCTGGGGATTTGGATCCCTGGCAGGAAACTATCTGTGCTTGGCGAACCCCACGCGGATATTCGGCATCTCACATTTGACAATGCAGGAAGGCATACCACCTGCGTATGTGTCGGCAACGTGTGTCGATGGCCATCATGGAGATTTGGGGATGTGCGACTAGTGCATATGATCCCCATATAATGTTCGGACATTTTTTGATCACCCCTCGTCCCTTCCAGCTCGTTTGGCCCGCCCTTCAATAATTCAACTTGCAATCATTTGGGACGGGACAATGCCTCATTTGGAAGTACACAGCAGCGCAAGAAAAGTTGGAGGAGTGCTGCAGAAAGTAGACATCGTGAAATTGATAGTGTGTGCGGCAGAAGTTGAGTTCCCCTCAGACGAACTCAAATTCCTATTCATTCCTACTGGCTACATAATTTTGCACAGAATACATGTATTGTGAATAAGGCTATGTGGCCAATAGGAATATCATATGAAAACGGTTGCACTGCAGCAATAGTGCATTGTGACCTGCTTGTCGTGTGTACATATGTCGACGCTACCATTGTGCCTCGTCTGACAACTATGTCCCAGGGCCAGCGCCATTTTCTGTGTTTGTCTATCACATGCATGTGACATATATTACCCACAATTGTCCGTGACGTGCTGACGGATTCCAATCTCGTCTACCTCATGATATTTGTTTTCTGCCAGGCGACACATATGCTCCCAGTGCATTATGTTGGCCTCTACGGAACGGGGTAGTGACACCCAGTGGGCCAATCGATGGGTGCACTGCGCTTGCGAAGTGAGTGGACGATCGTTCCCAAATGGCACAGACCACACAATCCGATGAGAGGGGTGGCCTGTGAGTCCGAATGATGAATCCTGTGGATCCACAATAACGACACTTTTAGAAATTTATGTTGGTGGCCATTTTCTTTTGAAACACGATTTGTGTGCCCCATCGCACTGCGAAAACCTCCTGATTCCCCTCTATTTAGTGTGGAATCAGTGCTTTCAATCAATGATTCATATGCGCCGGACTGGCAGAGACCCAAACCAAGGAATCCAGGTTGGGAAGGACCTTGCAAGTTGGGGCGCATTGCAGACACGGGGAGAAGTCGCTAGTGAGGACTTAAAAAAGATATGACCTCGAGTCGAGACGCCAGGATGTGGCTGTGCATTTTCTTCCTTCCCTTGGTTTTCGCTCCCCATAATCTGCACCCAAGTGCATGCACAAATCAAGGGGATCACCAGCTGATGAGCGGCCCAACAATGCGTATTCTAGACGCCCACCTTTTCCCGACAGGCCGCCAACACAGTCCTGCCAGGGCTTCAGTTTTCCCCCGGGTTTTGGAATCGAAGTAGGGCTCAGCGAGCAGGTCGGCGGAACGTGATGCAGCGCTCGATGGGCAGCTCAAGGGACCCACGTGGCTTCTCCCTTTTGGGATCGTTTGAAGACCGCGTTGCCTGCGGATTTTCCGTTCCACATTCTGTTTCGCTGAGGTATTCATGAAGGTGCTCGAATCTGAATCGCGGTCTATCAGTACTCGAATGCGGACTGGTGCACAGTCAAAGCCGAGTTGCATCAAGAGTGCATCGCACATTCCCCCCCAGTGGGAGATTCGGTTCATATCTGTTCGCGAGTGTCGCCCAGAGGCTGGGAGGAGCACACAACGGACACAATGCCCTCTCGTTTCGCCAAAACGTGCACTACAAACGGCAATTGCCAGCCTCAAAGGCTCCCTTGCTGAAGGCAGCCTGTCAGAAGCCTTGCTCCATATTGGCATATCCCAGTTCTGCCTGCCAACCCTGGTGCATTCAATTCGCGCTGCAGACACGCAAGCAACCCAAGGGGTTATGCGCTGTACTCCCGAGGCTGCGAGTATGACGTCTGCAGTGTTGACTGCCGAGGAACGGGACAAGGCGCTGCTATGACATATTCCTTCCAGTGGACACCGACTGTACCCTGGGTACATATGTGACCCGACGGCCTTTGGTCCTTTGCCCTTGTGTAAGACCCACCTTCCATCGGCATACAATTACTCTCTGCACCAAATCGGTGACTTTCTGCACTAAATCGGTGACTGCTTGCACCAACTCCCGCCGAAACTTACCTAACCTAAACCCTAAACCCTAAACCTTAACCTGCCCTTACCCTAACCTTAACACTAAAAATCACCCTAAAACTAAACCTAACCCTAAAACTGACGTTAGGGCACAGTGTGCACGTGATTTGGTGCAAGCAGTCACCGATATGGTGCAGGCAGTAATATTAGTTCCCTTCCATCCGTCTCTCCATGCCCTTGTCACGCTGCCATCCCCACACGGCCGCATCACTGCGCCTTGCACTACGTAATCAAAAAGACTTGCCTAAATCCCAAAAACGACAGTCCCGCCCCTCGCACAGGAGGTGGCCGTTGGCGTCCACGCTGCAAGACTACGGCGCCCTCCACCTTGCCCGGCCTGTCGCGGCGCCCATGAGGATGCTCGCCCCCTTCTCCGCGCCCCTGCGGTCCTCGCAGTCGCTCCTCAAGCCTCCGGGGGGCACCACATGCAGCCACCCCACCTGCATGCATCTCTCCCTGCACCCCGGGCCCATCCGCCAGGCGGTGCCATTCGGCCGCAGCCGGCAGTGGCTCGCGGCCACACGACGGCGCCAGGCAAGGATCTCGAAAATTGGCGGTGGGGCATTGAGGGGGGATGGCGGAAGAGAAGGGGGAGCATTTGATGAAGGGCGGCAGGCGGGGCCGATGGGCGGCGACGGGGGCCCTAGCCCAGGCGACGAGTTTGGAAATCTTTCCAGCCTGACCAAGGCGCTCATCACTGGGGCGTTCGTCATGGGGCTGGGAGCTGGTGTGTATTTTGCCTCCGAGGTGTCCGTGGAGCCCAGCAACGTGGCGTCAACGGAGATCGTGGACAGGCGGACGCCCAACTCGGAGCTGTGCATGGCCAACGGATACAGCTCCATGGTCTTCGACCAGAGGATATTCGTGTCGTTCAATCCGTGAGTGAGCGCGGGACCTTGGAGGCTGCTCGACTCGTCGTTTGCTTGTTGGCCATATATATGGCTTGCGTTGTGTCTGAAATGGCGAAATTTGCGCGGCGGGTGCCATCCTGGGTGCGCCTTGCCGTTGAGAAACGGCTGTTGGCTAATGGTGAATTACGACCGAACCAGAATTGCGCGGATATGCTGCCAGCTGTTGGTGGAGTCTGGTGTGGTTGCGCTCATTTGTGCTTGGGGCAAGCGGCATGGGGCATGGCGCATGGGAAGTAGTGTGTGTCAGAGCGCAAAGAGGCAGTGACCGAGTGCACTGCCTCCTGGGTGGCATTCCTGCAATACTTGAGGTCCACCCTCGTTGGTGCTTGCACACATGTCGGTGATTCCCCCGAGCACTTGTGCAACAGAATCAGCTGAACCCATGCTCTCATTACCTTGTCAGTGGATCCCACTTTTGAGTCAATTTCAGCTTTTGCGCATACAAGGAGTCCTCACACAGAGATGTTTGGAACGAGCTACACTTGCGTGCAAGAGTGGTGTGATGATATGGCATTGGTTGCAAACCTTTTGGGGCCTCTTCTTGCTAGAACTGTGCGGTTGGATACGTACACTGGATAGTTGTGGGACACTTGCAGTGCTGCTGGATATAAGAATGAGAGGACTGCGTGGCAATGAATTGGAATTTCAGTGATGACTGATGACCATGTTGTCCTACCAATGTGCCTTTTCTTTTGTTCTTTGAGAGAACTTGTTTCGTAAATTGTTGTGTGTGCCCCAACGCATACAAGAAATGTGCATCCCTTCACTGCAGTGTACTGAATGCATGGCTTGCGGGAGTACATAGCCTCAGCCATAGTGTTCTCTACAGGGCTGCATTCAAGTGCTTGTGTGCCCGTTAGGTTCAATGTCTACGTTGCCCAGCCAGAAGTGAAGCCAGGATGTATCTTGAGGAGAAGCAACTTTAGAGTGCTGGAGGGGAGGAGTTTGGTATCAAGGGATGAAGTAAGTAGATGGTTGGTGTGCGGACATAGGAGCTGGAGAGTCCATTCAGGGGTTGTAGAGGGCTCACATGTGTTGTGAGTTTGTGTTTGCTTGTTCCCCACGCATGCTTGTTGTATACCAACTGTGAACCCATCCTGTTGATTGACACCTACCTTCTATGCCAGTATTTCAAGAATCGCAGAGATGGATTGTGTGGATGTTCTTTGTTGTAGTGTAACACTTGCACAGTGCACTGTGCTTCAGTGGATAGTGGAGTGCTAAGCCACCATCCAATGTGGCTGTGGTGGTGTAAAAGCCCATCGACACAAAACAGGGAGGAAATTGGATGGCAACAGACAATAGACACATCCCTTTGCCCAAAACATCTCAGCAGCAATGAATTTGTAAAGAAAGACCCGACAGCACCAAAATCAGGTCACCTCAGGCCATCTAGGCGGCCTACAAGAGAATGAAGATCTTGGGCAAAAGAGATCGATACCAAAAGTTTGGCAAACTGGGCAGCCATGTGGCCCACATACCTCACATTCATACAATGTGCAGCTCAAAGTAATAACGATGATGGGGCATATGTTCTCAAAAGCGAACCTCGTCCCAGCACCAAAGATTGCTACACACCTGAAAATGTGGCAAGAGAAATGTGTGCATTTCCATTACCTCTGTCCTTCAATATTCCCAATAGTATCAATGCACATGTTTGATGTAGTCACAACTAGTAAGGGCACTGGCAAGGTGTGGTGCCTAACAAAGCCCTGCTAGTATTAAGAATTCAAGTGATGCCTTGCCTACTAAAAGGACCTCAGGATCATGAGCTACAGAATCATCCATAAGCACTATCGGGAGAAGAACGAATGCAGCTACACAATCCCACAGCATAAATGATTGTCTCTCACACTCTTGGGAGCAGGCCATGCATGTTGCACACAAGATCGGAATATTATCTGACATACTGAGGTGGCGCTCCTGGTGCACAGATGTCTTTGGTTGTGCAATCAGTGTGGCCCCCTGTCCATGCTTGCGAACAACAGTCATCGGAAAGCCACGCCCTTCTAGCAAGTGGCTGCCACAGGGTCAGCATGGCTAACTCTGCAATCGGGTGCTTGTTCTGACGCCCAGTTGCCCCCCTCAGAGCAGCTCTGGCAACACACTCCCTCCCACATAGCCGCACACACATAGTCCATTGCATTTCAGTCCTAATATGACTTTCTTGAGTGTGATGCTTCATCCTTCCTAAGGAGTCGTGGCTAATATGACACAAGGTGTGCAAGGACTTCTGCAGAGCACAGTTTTTTTGGGAATAAACCAATTTTGTTATCTGGAAGGCCTGACACAGCTGTTGTAACATTGAAATCTTGCCTTTGACAATGCAATCGACGGAAATCAGGGACCAGCTGTCACTGTCCGCCATTTCATGGCAGCTAATGGGGTGTGGGCTGTTGTTGCTGTGCAGGTGGAGTCCTGCAAGAAGAACATGAACACCTTTGCATATGTTGGGGATCTCAACCGCCAACCGGAGGTGTCATGTGTATACCACAGCGAAGAGGCGGAGAACCAGTTCATCCTGGACCCCAAGAAGGCTGTCATGGGCGATGGCTTTCAGCCACGCTAGCACTGGATGCACTGTGCTAAATCTTTCAAAAAATTTGGGATAGTTTCCTCTTGGGTCCAGACTGCACATGCATTGTGTCAAGAGCATTTCTGGGGATTATTATTTGTACAGAGCTCAGACACTGGTGGACCACGGGCACTGCAGGGGGCTGCGTCTTGAGCGCCAAGTGTGTGACAGGCCTTGATGGCTCTCCTCTAACCTTGCAAGGTGCGACAGCCACTGTGGCCTTTCTGGTGCTGACAAAAGTGGTCGCAAACATGGAATTGTGGGTGCCTCTGCTGAAAGCGGCCAATTGCACACCGCAAACAAGGCAGTCGTGGCCGATCGTGGGAAATTATCACGCCGATGATACATGATGCATGCCCCAAATGCCTTGTATGCTAGTGGTTGTGCTTGCTTTGCCAATAGGAGCCTCAATTTGTCTCAAGCCGTTTTGTTGTGGACGATTTGCCATGCACGGCAGCACACATTTGCTCTCGATTGGCCTTGAGATGTTGTGGACAATCGCTCCCACCTTCATTTCGCCTTCTCTGATGGAAGGATGTTGGCTGGTGAATCTCCCAAGAGGCCGTTATGTTTATAAAGATGGTGGCTGTTAAATTTGGTTTGGGCACAGTGGATGTTGTTGGGACTCGCATGCCTCTTGTATGGAAGGGACAATGGAAAGCAGGGAATTGGCACATGCTCATCGCGCTTGACAATCGGTGTGCCAGTGGTCTGTCACAAAAAGTGCACAGCACTCCATGCACTTCATGCAATTCTGCACCAATGGGTACACTCCCTTGAAAGCGGTGCTGTTCTCATAAAACTCCGCTTGGCCGCTGAAGATCAATATACACAAAGCGTCGCTTGGGGTGCCCCTGGATGCGGGGTGGGATCTGCGAACTGGGTAGATAGGATGCTGGCGACCATGCGCTCTTGGGAGGAGCACCAGGGAGAAGAATTCATAGCAAACAAGGCAGCGCAGGTGAGCACGTGGACTGCGCTGGTTCAATACCAAGCTTCCTTGCCTTGCCGTTGAGAATTGAACCCTGATGCACCTCCTGGTTGTCCATCCTTATAACTCCGGAGAGCATAGCAATGCATGAGATATATCCCCACAGAACACCGTCTTCCATTACCCAGCGTCAAGATTTGTTCGCTTCGAATGCGCAACAGCAGTAGTGAATAAGAAACTGACCAAGATTGCCGACTATTTGTCCACGTATCTACTAATCGAGCCCACTGACAATTGGCTGGAAGAAACGGAAATAAGGATGCGCCTGCTGCCTCAGAAGTATTCTGCATCCATGGTTCTCACTCAATTCTGTACCCTCGTGCAACCCATTCTTTTGTGCCGCCTTTCACATTTGTGACATTGTTGAATAAGAGCACCTGCAGTCGAAAGCACCCACCAAGACTCAAAATTGGGCATCTGGATGGTATTCAAAGGAAATTTGCTTCAGTCGGCCACAGTAGCAGTACGTTTAAATTGCCCACTTGCACCAGCACCAGGACCGCGGCAATCAGGACTTAAACACCCAATTTGTGCCACACGGCCAAGGAGGGGGGGGCGTCAACACTACAACTATAACATCAATTTCCAACTGCAGGTGATTCTTTATTGGCCACATTGCTTCAATTACTTACAAATCCGAATGCCTTTCCTGAGGGGGGGGCATCCAGCCGCCAGACCGTGGAGGTTGTAAAGGCCGGAGCTTAGGGCCCAGCAGGTGAATCCAATAGATGTAGTCATGGGATAAACTGTGGTGTAGTTGTGAAGGGTTGGTGAACAATTGTGGTTGTTGCAGACCACATGGACTGCCTTGCAAGAATTATTATGGCAGAGCCAGATTGCGCCCCATTCACAGCCAATGCTGGCGTTGAGACGTTTCAGTCGAACTCACCTTGCTCAGCCTCACAGTGGCCTGGGCAGATCGAGTGCCCATTTCACAGATAACAGCAATTGGCTTGTCCTTGTACTCATCCAATTCGCCCTGTCTTACTGTTGCCGACAACTCATCCAGCGGAACATTTCGCGCACCAGGGACATGCCCATCTGAAAACTCCATTGGTCTGCGGACATCCAACAGCAAAGAGATGTTGCCATCTCCCATTCGTTTGCTGAGTTCCTCAACATCTATCTCTGCAAATCCTGTTGGCAAACAGAAGATGAATCAAAATGCTGCAAGACAGCCATGCCTCAGGTTGGTGTCAACAAACTGTCCATGCTGGAGAGAAAAAAAATCCCTGACATTATGCAGAGCCATCCAGCTGCTATCCAATAATGGGACAAGCAAGGAAAGTGCATAGCAAGCCTCGGGTTCTGTGGACAGCACCTTGCTCAGGGGAATATGCACTTGTTATATCTGCGTCGTCAGGATTCAATGCATGCTTCACCTCGCCCTGTAGCACTGAACAAGGCATACATGGGAATCAAAAACAGGAAAATGTGCACAGAGGCAAATGGCAATACAAGCAGATAGGGGAAGAAATGCCAGAAGCCTGCTGTGCTAGCAGCAGTGAACCACATCCACACAATCTGTAGCAAGAGCTGTAGCTGAACAGACGAACGTGCAAAATGGACGGCAGTCAATGGCGCTCTGATTTATATAACATTCGTACTCTATTCGTTCTCTAGAATTCAAATTCCCAAGTTAAGACCTCCCCTGCTTGGCTCCCTGGTCTTGTAATTCTGGCAGAATCTGCAGCTACCACATCAATAGGCTGTGAAATCGGGTATTCAGAGAGAGGTTCTGCCTGCCTGTTCACCATTCAGAACAATGCTGCCCGCCTAAACAGTGCCAATATTCCCCAAACTATTCAACAACTGCTGAGCATCGGGTACAAAGGCAGTCAGGATGTGAATGTCGTCCCCTAGTGCCACTTTACGCTGCCTGTGTGCAGCAATCTAAGGAGATAAAAAATGTCCAGTGCACAGCATGCTTCCTTGGCCACGCGCCCCTAAAGGATTCCCTCAATCGAATCGGATTGCCATTAAACACGTGCAACGCTGTGGATGGGATTATACTCACAATCCACAGGGTCAGCTGTCAGTTTTCCTTCCAGCTCCCATACGTCTCCTTCATCGTTGTCTCTGAACACGAAATCATCGCCCAGCTGCCTGGCCTGCCACAGCCGTGCCAATGCCCGATGAAATTGCCTGAAGCCCCAATCTCCCAGACAAAACCGCCATCAACGTTTTTGTCGGGGCACTTCTTATTTATCACGGTGGTGAAAACATGGCAAAGCATAGCCTTTTTGCCTCTCAGATGATGTTGTTCGTTGCACAAGGGCACTGGTGGCGTTCTCTGGCGAGCCTTCCATGTTCCCATTCCCCTTAGTTTTCATTGGGTTTGCACCGCAATTGAAGAATCGCACAACAGGAAAAGCCCCGCGGTACGGGGCGCAGTGGGATGCATTGCCAGCGGTCTGCGTGGACGCTCACCTCTTCAAGGACTGAGGCAACGTCAAGGAATTTTTCCTCCGACTCTCGGGGACCATCCCCGAATGGGGACACGACCTGGTCCGACGTCCCGTTCTTGTCTCCCGCCCTGCACTTCGTCCAATGAGGCGCCGCTCTTCTTCCCACCTGGCTTGCGCGCACGGCTCCCGGTTCTGATCGCATCGGCGAAGGCCGACGGGCGGCGATCGGACCCGCCGGCGAGTTGCGCACGGCGAAGCTCATGCTTGGAGGCATCGGTAAAGATTCGGACAACGCCCACGAACGCCGACAAGTGCCCGCTTGATTCCTGACGACCGGCAACAGGGGCCCCCGGGCGCGTGCGTCAGCGCTCACGCCGGCCGGCAGCGGCAACGGGCGGAGCGGTGCCGAAGCCGACGCTGCAGGGCGCCAACCGCTGCAACACTGCGGGCAAAAGAATCTGACCCAAACGCAAAAGTTGTACTTTACAAAAGCGCTGCTGACTGGGTAGGCGCCAGTACCCAGTACTGTACCTTGCGGGCAGGACAGGCCACAGTCAGCCTCTTGCATGCAGGGCAGGCCATGTTACTGGGCAAAGGTGGTGTCGCCGCTCCTATGCAGCTTGGTCTCGCTGCCTCTGGCCTTGCGGCAAGGCGCCTTGCCGCGCTCGCGATGTCCTCGTCCGCACTCCACAAGCGGAAGGCCGTCAAGATTGGGACTCACAGTGGCACCTTCCACTGTGATGAGGCGCTGGCATGCTGGATGCTGAAACAGACGGACCGTTTCCGGGACGCGGAAATCGTGCGGACCAGGGACCCAGCCGTCCTCAAGGACCTGGACGTGGTCGTCGATGTGGGGGGAGAATACGACGCCGGTAAGCTTGTTCGACCAAGTCTTCAGCACCCTAACACAGAGGTTCTGAATGACTGAAAGGCTGCGCGGCCATGACCTGTTTTTTCCTCAGAATTGAGAATCCAACACCATTGGATCGTGCAATAAATACGACTTTGAAGGCCAGAAACTGCAGCAGGAATTCGATGTGCGCTGGCTGGAATGCTTCATGGGAATCAACACACCAGATTGCAAATTCTGGCACTTCACTGCTACCAGGCTAGACTGCAGATAGCACAGTGCATCTGAACCCATCCTCTCCAAAGAACTCGTCCAGAGAGATTGCCATTTGTTTATAACCTTGCCGCAGCTGCATGCAACCTTGTGGAGACCGGTGCACTTAAAGCGGAGGTCGCATTGGATGCTTAAGTAAAACACATGTCCTGTCCTTTCATCAGGGCTTGGAAGATTTGATCATCACCAAAGAGAGTTTGCAGATAATTTCGGACATGGTGAGGCGGTTGAACACTATTGTTTCATCAGATGCTCGCCATTGTGTGCGGGTGTGTCAATTTTACGACGTACCCTGACTGGCAAGATCTGTTGGCTTGGTTCTCTGGTGCATTTCCCACTGCATGCATATTGTTGTTTGCAGGGTACACCACCAAGCTCTCTAGTGCTGGGCTGGTTTACAGACATTTTGGTGAGTGCACTTCACATCCCAAATGAGCATCAGCTGCTGCCCTTACCTGAAGGGAAAATCTTTGCATTTTGTGTGCCTGGAACTTACCAGCCTGCTTGTTCACTGCCAGAGATGGAAGGGCATATGATTCCACAAGGGTCAGCTGCAGGCCTCGACACACACCCTTTGTCTGCTCTACCTCTTGTGCTCTAGCTATTGACGACCTAAGCTCCTGCTCTCTTTTCGGGAAGGAGGCTTTGCTACTTGCATTCTGTCCTGTCTGGGCTGCTGTGGCTACTTGGGTCATGGGGCAACGCTGATGTCCATACTGTAGGACAGAACAAGAGCATATTCTCCTTGGTCGTAAATCGCTGATAAATGCTTTGGCCAGCCCCCACACAGCGATGGTTTCAAGCACGAGCACCTAAAATTCAGTGATCTTTTCTGTTCCCTGCAAATTGTGCTGGACAAACTTCACTTTGGTCAGGTTAGATGTCTCCTTGCAACTGCGCATAGTTATATTGCTAAGTTCAACTATTTGGTGTCAATTGACCCTCTGATCATCAGCTCTGCTTTCCACAATTGACAACATGTACTCCATGTTCGTGTTAAGCAGGAAAGGAAGTGATTGGAAAAATATTGGGGCCAGCTGTGAGCAGCGATGACATCGACACCCTTTATCTGCGCATCTACAAAACCTTCATCGAGGCTGTTGATGCTAATGACAATGGTGAGTGTGGATGCCAAAGGCAAGGGCTTCTTGATGGAGAAACAAGCTTGCAGGGATTGAATGTCAGTTTTATTTGTGGTACTGCTCCCCAGGTGCTTGTCAATTGACACTGTGGCACAAATTTGTTCGTTTTATAGGTATCAACCAATGGGAAGGAGATGCCCCACCCAAGTATGTGAACAACACAACACTCGGCGCAAGAGTGAACTTTCTGAATCCCAACTGGAATGAAGATTCTTCGCCAGAGGTGCTCTACAAGCTGTTTATGAAAGCTGTTGAGCTCACAGGCTCAGAGTTTGCCGATCACGTGAAATACTCTGGACAGGTGGGCTCAGGATCTTTGCAGTGGCAGAACACTGAAATTCGTAGCAGACTTTTACTTTCCAGCTTTGGGTTGCAGGACAGGCACATGTTAAGGATTGGGGTGCTCCATTCCTGGCAGAATGGCATCATTCCATCAAGCATTGTGAATGGAGTAAGTTGGCAGCAGGTCAAATTGCAGATCGCTTACTCCTGTGTTGTGTCCCAGTCCTGGCTGCCTGGACGTCAATATGTGCAAGAGTCTTTTGATGAGCGACTCAACATCGATTCGAGTGGAGAGATCATGCAGCTCAAACGTTACTGCCCCTGGAAAGAGCACCTGTATGATCTTGAGGAAGCCAGCGGTGTTTCGGGGCAGGTTAAATACTGCCTGTATGAGGTGAGCCTTTGGTACATTGCCAACTGTTGCAAAGCGGAACATGAAAAACATGGAAGCAACGGATTTTCCCTTGCTGCCAGTGCGATCGCTGCAGCTGATGCTGGAAGCTGTCCTTTGCACTGAAGTTTGCTGGAGTTCGTTGGGAGCTGTGGACTGACAAGCGATACTGACAAAATTGACCAACCTGGTGTAGCTAGCTGTCCTCATCACAAGTTCAGTCGGTTGTTGTATTGCCTGACGTTGCAGATGGTGTGTATGCTGTGAAAGACATGTTGCAAGGCCTGGATGGGCTTGTTGTAGAACATGTCAGGTGTTCTGACTTGTGTCTCTGCTCTGCAGGATGACAGGGAGCACGTGTGGAGGATCCAGGCAGTGTCTGTCTCGCCAGGAAGCTACATTTCTCGTAGACGGCTTCCAAACGCATGGCGTGGACTGAGAAGCGACGAGCTGGACAAAGTCGTAGGTATCCCTGGCTGTGTGTTTGTCCATGCTGGGGGATTCATCGGTGGGCACAAAACTTGTGAGGGGGTGCTGGCAATGGCTCAAAAAGCACTCACAATGGAGTAGAGGTAAACCTCCAGCAAGGCAGCTGATGGTACGCGATTTCAGGTGAAGCACTTTTGTGCAGTTGGTAAGCAACCAATTTCCCCATCAGTGGTTTGATCTTGTGTTGAAGGCGCTGCAATTGTTGCAGCAGTTGTGGGGCCACTTAAGATATGGCGGCAGTCATTGACAGCGACTTGAACACTGTTTTCCACGACAAGCGGAACAAGGGCTGTGTTTATTGCAATTTGCGCTGGGTTGTTGAAGCCCCCAGGGCATGATGGCAACTGCCTTTTGTGGCGAGGTCCCTAAATTGTTGGAATAAAGATATATATTGTGTTTATGGAGTAGAGCAAAAAGCATGTTGAATGGACAACTTCCAAAAGAATAGCAGATATCAGGCTGGAACTCAGCAGTGTTCGTCTTTGTGCTCACCGGTACACATGCTCTTCTATATGGAATGTTATTGACGGCAATGATTGCCCAATATTGTGTTTGCATTGGATGGGCGTCGATTGTCATTGAGGGCTGCGCGACAAATGCAGACGAACTCCCCTTGCTGTGTGCGGTGACAATGCAGCTATTCATGGTGCTATCGTTGGCATTGGCACCTCCACGGAGATGGTGAAGTGGCCTGTACTAGACAGAAACAATCGTCTCTTTGGGGGTGATACCAGCGTGTATTTGTCATGGTCAGCGTTAAATCGACGCTGATGGAGAAATGGCCACACCTTTGACGTTAAAAGATGTTTACTTGCCACGAAATTGACACAACTCAAGAAGCCCGACTACCCCTAAGGGAAGGCGCTATGTCGATTTGGTTACGCTTAGCGTCAATTTGACGTTAAGCTGAGACCCCTAGTACCCGTCCCTAGTACTTTCCGAGGGGTGAGAATTTACCACGATTTATCAGGGGCGCAGTTGGACTGGAAAAGGCGCCTTTGTGGCGTCTTTGAGGTTTTTTTTTGGCTGCGGCAGTCCAGGCCGTTTGGCGACGGGGCTATCGCTTGCACTTACTCATTGCAGGCATCTGGGTTGAGTCTTACCCAACCTCGCTGCTTGTCTAGGCCTTTGGAGGTGGGCGTTTGGCCCAAAACTTTGCATGCGGTCTTCGAAGGTGGTTGGATATGGGTGATAATGCTAGTTCTGGGTTGTTGGGCATTTGGGGGGTTTCTGATTGTTTTTGGGGTCGGTGTCTCTGCTATGGCACATTTGCAGTTTCTTGCTGTTCTCGCTTTCTGGGGCTTTCTATTTGGTTTCGTTTGTTGATGTATCTCTTGATGAATTTGTTGTGGGTCCGCTTGGCTTGCACACCGTGGGTGAATACTGAGCACGATATGTGGACCAGCAATGCGCTCTCCTGCTTTCGTGCCTTGTGTTGTGCCGGGGCTCTCCTGTAGCGCCTGAAACATTGGTGGAAAAGGAGGGGTTTTCGCCTCGTTAATTTGTACTGCCATCTTACCCCCCCCCCCCCCTTATACCCCACTCCACCCCCACACCCCCAACCCTCAACCCCAACTGTACAACCCCACCCACCCCCAACCCCCAACCCCCAACCCTCCTTAGCATCAATCCTTATGTCGATGCAAGGATGACTCAGCAACAGTATGTGACAGTGATATGCAATTTCTAGGTGGTTTTGAGGACAAAAAATGTGCTCATTTCAGTGGGTTGAGAAATGGGATTCTAATGGGCATTGTGGGCCAGGGGGGCAGCCTGAATTGTTGTAGTTTGATCCATTTTGGGGCCTTTCCTGAACATCGAACACTCGGAGGTGGTTTAGGGACAAGTCATGAGTTGTTTCCAGCTGATCCGCGTCCTTTTTTGGGTATCTTTCCTCCTTATGTCCACTTTGTTGCAATTGCATAATCTCTTAGCGTCATAGGTCGGGACCCCCCCTCCCGGTGTCAATTTAACACTCAGCGTAACAAATCGACATAGCGTCTTCCCTAATGTGTTCCAGAAAGTCTTCAAGCGTTCAACATGCCACAGACATCCGCAGCTGAACAAGAAGACACTCGTGTTTGGCATTTCGCCACTGCAATGGCTGAAACAAGCACTCGAGTCGCTTGGCCTGAGCCAGCACTCCCAACTATCTGGGAGACCCATCAAGGATGAGGTGCATGGTTAAGATTTCAATCTGTATTCATCTAGGCATGACTTGTGATTCGGCACCGACTTAAGGATTGACATTCACGAAGGGGGATCTGAGCTTCAATTTGATGGCCAGTGCGACGGAACTGCCTGATTCCATCCCCCCTCCAAGAGAAGTGGAGTTGCAATGAACACCTTGGGACAAAGTATTCATCCCTTTGATGTGGGTCCCGGTGACACTGTTTAGGGCATGCTGTTCCTGGCGCTGCGTTCCACTGTGTTTCTGCAAATGATCTGCCATGCTCTTGGGACCACACACGTTCTGAGAGTGGGTGTCAGTGTCCTCTCCGAAACAAACGATTGGGGAGTTGCGAATCGACCATTGAAATCAGCGGTAATGCCCAAAGACAAGAAGCGCTTATCCACGATTGACAAACACCTTCAGGCGCTGGGCAGAAGACTGGATGTGTTGCGGTGCAAGAATTTATAGTCTCAGCGTGGTGCACCACATCTGTGAAGTACCAGCATTCCATTAACGAGGCGTGTGCTCGTGCCGCATTGTGAATAATAGCATGCATTCAATCCATCGAGCCTGTTGAGCAACGCAAGAAATTCGGTTGAAGTGGCAGACTTCACAGCAAACCCTCAGCGGTTGCTCAGGAGAACCCGGCTAGCTGCATCTAGGGCCCAAATCCCCTTGTCAAACAGATGATGAGCGCTGTCCAATCCCCCAGGCCCATTAAAACTGCAACGGCTACAGGGCAGCCGTCAGTGATGAATTGGAACGCCTAGTGCCTGCGCCTTGGCAACGTTTATCGAGCCGCTGGCAACAGGCGGTGGCGTCTGTTTTTATTGGCAGTGGTGACTCTGAGCACGCCTTCCCTCATGCTGAATTGCAGTCTTTCTCGTTGGTCTTCTGGCTGCACACGTACGAGGCCTCTGTTATTTGAACCTCCAGGTCCCGGTCGTTTGCAAACACGATGTCCATGTAACCAACAGGGCCTGGCTCGCAGCCTGCAAACACAAACAAACGGGTATGGGCGCTTGGCACGCATTATCAGCCAAACACACACCACATGCTCAGGCACCCACAGCAATTCTGTGTGTGCGGTGATGCTATGTGGTGTGTCACCTGGCACCAACACCCCACCTCGGCGGTGCCAGAACTCTCTGCTTTAGACTTCCGCAATACCTTGCTTTGTTCACCATCATGGTGTCACTTCATCTAAAGGTCTACAGCACCCTGTGACGAGCGGGCCAGAAACGCGGGGGAGCAACAGTTGAATCTCCCCTGTCGGGTGGCGACAACCTGTTTCGTATCGCTGTTCCACCAAAGATGTTGCAGCCGCTGAGCAGCCCAGTTCAACAAAATACATCCTTCCAGCAAAATCCAACAACCTCCAACAAAATATGTCCTTCCCTAGAAATCGATCCAACAAAATGTATCCTTCCAACAAAACGCGACAAAATACATCCACCCACCTTCTTCGTCATCCCAGAGGCACTTTCCTTCCCCGTCCTTTGTGCACTCGCCTTCGTTTTCGTACAGCGGACAGCCGGTACTGAGGATTCCCTGCACCACCTGGCAGCCAACTTCCCTGCTCTTCCTGGGCGTCGCCAGAAGCTCCTGCAGCAGCGTCTCGCTGTCGAGAGAGCACTGGCCCAAATTCGTGTCCCACAGACAGCTCCCTTCCTCACAGTCCTCCTGCTCGAATTGCTGGTCGCAGAATATCATCTTGCGCATGATCCTGGCGGCCCCCGGGTTGGCGATGGCGTTCAAGTATATCTACGCAACAAACGAGCAACAGCTCCGTCACGGTGGTGTGACATAGACAGTGTGCCATCCAGGAATGCTCAGGCGCATTCCTTATTCTAGTGCGGTGTTGCAGCTGCGTACACTCGTTGTTCCGATGGGCGAGGAACCTATTAGGCGCCCTGACTGTTTTAAACACAGTCCCTGTGGATCTGCAATAACTTCAATATCTGTTATGGGGGACCGCAACGGTCGGAGGCGCTGGTGTGTGCTTGATGTCGACACTGGTGATATATTTGCAAGAAGGAATGAATCCTAAGCTTCGGAAAGTGTTCACTGAAAGCTGTGCATTCTTTATCGGCAGTCCTTCCCTGTGCTGACATTCTGGTTTTGCTAGGAATGGCGCAGGGATACAGTGCTCAAGAACTGCATTCTGGATGCAAGACCGCCAGAAACCATGTCTACAGCACCAACGCATCGCAACACGCTGCAGCCATGTAGAGCCCCGTTGTTGACAGCGTCTTTCTGGCAGTTTGAGCTGGTGGGACAAACGCAACTCACGGGGTGCAACGCTGTGAGCATGGGTTTGCGCTAACAATGCACAAGCGCTGTGCTCCAGATTTGTGGAGCAGTGCTGGCTTCCCAGTTTGGCCATTTAGCAATTATATATTAGCAATTATTGCCCAAACAGGGGTATGTGGAATAAGTGACTATTGTTATCGCTTGCCTACAGATGAAAACACCAGGTTCTCTTGGCAGTTTGTGTCCGACGGCCCTGCACCCACCTCCTGCAGCTCGTCCGTGACTCTCAACTTCACGTCCACCGAAGGATCGCACCCTCCATCGCTCGGTGCACAGAACGCCTCATCGCACTTTCCTTCGGCATGCGCGAGGTCGCAATACACGTCTGCCAGCACCAAATCTTCCACCACCTCTGCTGCCCTGCACACCACCAAATCGAAGCCAGGTGGGCACGAAAAGGGCGGGGAGTCAAAATCGAGGAAGTCCTGGGCAGTCTTAACCTTCGCCTTTTTAAGAGCATTTGCGAGAAGTTCACGCCTATCAAACGCGATCTGCAGGACAAACAGAACAGCAAGCAGACTGTCACCGGGAGGCCTCATGCACAAACCACAGAACTTGAAAGTACTCCACGAAAAATTTGTGGGTGAGAACTACA